TATATATATATATATATATATATATATATATATATATATATATATATATATATATATATATATATAAAGTGAAAAAGACGTGTACGTGTGCTTTTCACAAATGAGGAAACTAATACTTATACAACCAAAATACAGCTAATATTACTAATATTACTACTACAATATTACTAATACAGCCAAAATTTCGTCGAAAGGGTGTTCTGATTTATAGTTAGACGCGATGCAAGGTGAACGGTACTCCTTATATTGTTACGAATTGATCGATATTTCCCGCCACGGGATACGCAGAAAGATAGAGTGAAACGTGACATTTGTACGTCGATTATATTTCACGATGTCAGAAACGTCAGAATATATCCACGCGGAATAAAAATTCCGGCGACCCTTATCACGTGCTATAATCGCGACCGTACCTTTTCCATACCCACGTTTCTACCAGAAAAAAGAGGTTATCTAAGTGAGGAGGGAAAATTGCTTTCCAAGTCGAAAGTTCTCACTGTAGCGGCGGTTTTGCCTTTTCTTTTTTCTCACGATTCGGGCATAAAAACCGCCGGAAGGTATCGGGCCACGGGCTCTTCCTACATGTTTCTTCGTTTCCTTCGCTTTTCGTGCCGTGCAACCTCCCCCCGAGTGACTATTCGTTATGATAGATCGACCCAGTAACGTCGTTAAATATCGGTTATTGTCCCTTTAATGCCAACTCGCTTCTCTATAAGTCATAATTCGATCGCACCCGCAGAGTGAAAGATTACAGGGGTGATCCTAGAGGCGTTGTTTCATTTCCGTACTCTTGTATATGTGTGTAAAAAATATATAATTCAGAAATTACTTTTATTTAATAAAACATAGCGACTGAAATTACTGCAATTCATATTCTTTTGCCCTTTTCAAAGTCAGAAACGCTAAAAAGTTTCAATTATTATTACCGTTAATGCCAATTTTTCATTCTGCAAATTTGCAGATCGAATTAATCTCGATATTATTACTGCTCGCGCGCAAAGTGTCGCGTACTAATGCCATGTCAGATCGATAAGTAAACTGTGCAGAAACCTTAGTGGGAGAAAAGGTCGACGGTACACATAAATGTTTCCCGGCTGAAAAATAATTCCCGGGTACTAAGGGCACACACCCGTTCGCCACCCGCGTCGGATTACCGCGTTCTACCTCCCGGCGGTATTACGGCATTACGATTCTTTTTTTCTCGCGCGTGGCTAACCCGAGGTCAACCCATTTCCGGCTCGGAGGACCGACTAATCGAGGTTTGATCGATAGCTACCTTTTTTCGAGTGGCAAAGAAAACACCTAAAGATAGTCGTGGGACTATTGTGCCGCATTGTAACATGACATCATCTATTTCGAAAAAACGCAAAAACATTCGTCGTGCATTTAAGCGAGATGTCGTGGAGCGAAATGTGATCCTTAGTACTGAATGATTTTTTATAAAATTTTATATGACTTCCTCGATTCCACGTAATATTTGTGTTCGCATGTTTTTAAATCGAATTGATTCAGATTGAAGATACTTTTGTACACGGAGAAGGTATTATAATAAAAATATTACAACAAAATTTTGCAAACCTGGAACATACAAAAATTATGAGCAAAATTACTATTTGTTTAAATTATACACGTTTGAGTTATACTACAAAATTATTGTAATTACATAAATATATTGTATATCGTATATACGATAAAAATCGTTAAATTTACTATTTCTATAATAATTTACACACATACTACACATTGTCAATATAATCTAACTTTATAAAAAAATTAAATATAATCTTAATTGTGTGTGCAAAATAAAATATAAAAAAAAAGTCTTGATTGTAAAGTGAAATATAATCTTAGCATAATTTTGTTTTACAGTATTTCCTTTATATATATTTGTATATTTTCGTTATTGCCATACTTTCTTTTTAAAAAATTTCGGGAAAGTTATCGCCGTTTAACTCGATTTAGCAGATCATTTCTACTAATACACAGTATCGCGATAAGCTATCACCTTTAGAAAGATGCAGTGCGAATTAGAGCTTAATCTATTATATCAATGAAGGTGTTACGTCGAGATAAAAGCTGTTAGTATGTCATCGATTGTAAACCGACCTAAGTAGACGGTCCCTGATTAGATTAGAGTCTTTTTTCAACTATAACAGCTATATACACACACAAGGTCTATCTATTCTCTATTGCGAGGAGTAGCCGACATTACGATCGCTCGATGCTAAACTGCTAAACGAGTATATAGATAATGCCTGCTACTTGACGCAGCATTTTATGTCCTGACAATTTTCTCAAAGTCGAACTTTCCAAGATATAAAATCCGTTTCAAGTGAAATATAGAATAAAGTTTAATTGTTCACGTGCATACACACACACACACACACATACACACAGAAACGAGCATTACGAATGTCAAATTGCAACTGGATATTCGACTCTCTGTTTAACATTTAAAGTTTCCATTTTAACTTACAGCACAAGTTGCTACTTGTTTGCTTCGTTAATTATTAATTAAGTCACTATACTATCTCGTAGAACTACTTTAACTTTGCTCCTTAAAACAAGATATTTACTTGTACATTTACCATACTTCTTTTCTCGTACATTGAGAGTACACTAAGAGAAAAAATATTTAAGAGATAAGAAAATATTTCTATTCCATAGGGATACTCTAATAAACATATTTATTAATACTAATATAAAATATTTTTCAAATATAAAAAAATATATATATATTTAAATATATATATTTTCTTAAAACCTTAGCCTTTCATGAAAATAATTGTTTATTCTATTTAAATAAGAGAATTTAGAGAGTTGAGTAAATATATTATCAGTATCCATCGAATAAATATTTCTTTATTTTTAGATATTTTTTTCTCTCAGTGTAGCTAAATATGAATGATCAAAATACCACAAACAAAATATGAGACGAGGAAACTGAATTTTTGCGAATCCGTCGAGTAAGAGTACCAATGCCCAAGCGTATATTTAATCTTGGATATTCTTATTATTTTTGTTTTTACTATACTTTCGACATAGAATATATACATATACTTTTTAATTTTTTACGTTGAAGATTTAATTGTATTTAAAGACCAAAACAATAAAAATGTTCAGGATTAGGTACGTGTCCGGACATCGGTACTTTTACCTTAGACACGCATCGATATCCGACGTCTATCTCGAGTCGCGCAGGTTCGACGGAGCATCTAGTTTGATTCCAGATGTAAGCGGTCTGTAATCCGAAACGGAGGACTCTGGGATTGAGTTAGTGTATATACGTGGGAACACGCGGGCATGGACGGCCTCGGGGTTGTTTTCCTTGGAGGCGTGCACGCCGATCGCCTATCGCGTGGGGTAGGTTTTTCCATGGAGCATCGCTCTCTCCTACAGAGAAAGAAAGAGAGAACGAGGTGGTGTTCACTTTTACGCCGCCACGTGACTCTTTGCGGTACACAGAAGAGCTCCTCTCCTGTTTGTCGACAGCATAATCACATGCGCTTCTCTCTCTTTCTCTCTCTCCCTCCTTTTACAATAGGTCTCCCCGCCGTTGTAGCCGCTGGGAGTTTACGCGATCGGAGATTAAGTGGTTCATGATGGGAACTAAACTGGCGTTTAGGCCGCGTTTATGCAACCTTACGACTGTGTCGCCGACGCACGGAAGCGGGATCGCGCGGAGATACCGACAGGACGCGAGTGGGTGCTCCGAGAGTGAGTTTTTTCCACGTTTTTTCGACCTCACTCCGGGTGTTTCAATCCCGATGCGTGTTTAGACGCGGCCTGTATTGGCTTTGACTCGCGAAAAATCGCGCAATCACGGATTCGCGGGGAATTAATGGATTACTCCCACCAGCGCGTTGTTTTAATTCGACGACGAGCTTGACGTCGGAACGAAATGTTAACCATTGTTATTGGCCGTTCGTTTCAAAGCTCGCGATTCAGAGCGCCCGCGCGGACGAGTCACATTCAAATCGGGATATTGTGGTTTTAACGATCAACGGTCATGCGTTGCATATGGCCTCGGGCGCGAGCGAGACTGCCTCGTTTCTCATTCGTCTACGTGCGTCCGGATGTGTACGGACATTTTTACGGCTGGGTTTCCGTTCATGCCGCTGTGATCTCGGTTGACGAGCCAATTCGACCACTGTGGTGGTCAATCGGCGAGTGAACGAGAGATCTGTAAGTTTTCGTTCGACAATACTATTCTACAATACTTTAGACCGTCAAGCTATTTGCAATTCGCTTGTCTTTTCCAGCTAACTCGGAAGTGCATAATCTGAGCTGATGACTTTCTTTCGTCGTCGGACATCGGTGCGATTTACGACTTTGAACTACGTGATGTAACGCCTTGTACGCGTCTGAATTGTTCACTCACCATTTCTCGACGTCCCGTAACGTACACCGTCCAGGTCCATCGACGAAATCCATCTCTGCATCCGTTCAGCATCCTTGTCCCACATCCGTGGTGTCTAACTGTCGCTCCGCGACCATCACTCTTGATTCGTTGCACCATACTGTACTGTACTGCACTTCACTCGCGAACGTAGCAATTTTAATGGCGCTTACGGATTCGATTAAAAGTGCAAACGCGATAAATCCTAGTCTGCGAAGAATCGTTCACCCGCGTGTCACGAATCGTGTAAACAATTGCAAGTAGACCTCGGCGTCTTCGACAAAGGATCGAGAAAGGAAACAAAAACATCCCGCTTCTTGGACGAATGTACTTTGTCGAAGGCGAAGTTTTCGTTTCGGAAGCGTTCCAATTTTTAAACGAGACGACAAATATTTATGCCAGATTTTGTGATAATTTCGATCGAAATGATACTGTGCGACTCGTAACGTGTAGAGAACTTAAGGAATCGATGATTGAGACGATAGCAAATTCAATCGCGAAATAAGTGCTCGCGAATTTCATGTACGTTGGTGCAATCCTCTCGGTCACGTTCTGGAACAAAAAATATATAGTTTTACCGATAAAAAAATATAAAGAATAATGATTTAATGAGGAAAATATGCGTAGATATGTATGTGTTAATTTTCTGCGATTATTGTAACTTAATGACTTTTACCACGCTAATTGTCTAATTTGTCGATCGCAAAGAGTTATTATAAAATGCAAGAGCATAAAAGAATAAGGGGGGAGGTCTATGAACCTACCTTCGAACCAACACTATTCCGAACCGGATCCTCCGGTACGGCATCCGCGTCCACTGCACCCCCGGGAGCCGCAAGCTCTAGCAGATCTGAAACAAAAAGTAAGTTTCCTAATTAATCACATCGATAGGTGTCAACGTATTCCGAATATGAGGAGACTCAAAACTGCACATTTTTAAATTAATTCAAGTGTACACTAAAAAAAGAAAAATATTTAGTAATAGCAGCTGTATAATTGATAGCTAGTACTAGATCGAATTTTATTATACAAAATTAATGGCATATTTAAAATCGTGTCTTATATTTAAGACTGTCTTAAACTTATCTTAAGATATTCTGTAGCCAGTAAAATGCTCCGTATATCATCTGAAGATGAACTTAGGACGGTCTTAAATATGAGATCCGATTATGAATACCGACTAATGTGTTTAAGAAATTATTGTAATTACTGTAACTAATGTCTTAATTTTGCAATATAATTAAAAAATAATTTACTGAAATATACACGTGACAATTTTATGTACACAAAACTTGTATAATAATAACTCGTCACCTATACAGTCGCCGTCATACTTTTCTCTGGGCGTAAAGTTGTAGTGACTGACAAGATTGCAGGATACTGCAACATTGTTTGACGATCGCGAATTTTTGTAACGCGTCTTACGCATCCTCTTAATCATGTCGGAAATCGAGCGCGACGGCTCCCGATCTGCTTGTCCCCGTGTCAAGGATTGTTATGATCGCCCATACGTTACATACCTACACATATTTTTGTTGTCGAAGTCACATGTTCTTCAGCGGACTGGACACGCTGAACAGCACGGTTATGTTATTTATTTCTCTCTATTTGACATTCACTATATCGCGACATTGTGCATGTTATTCTATAGCGTTTAACTCCCTTTTAACGTTCAGACTATCAACATGCTCAGCCTCCGCGATGACAGTTCGTAGCACGGAGAAGTAAATGATCACCATCACAGGGAGAAGCAACGGCGAGCTTACATGCCCTCTTTAACGCATGTGAAAGTTGAGAGAAATAAGTTGATAATCCACGTGTAAATATTTATATTGATTAATTGGACCGATCTGATTCTTTGTCGAAAGGAACACTTGCGCTTAATTAATCGGCACAAATCTCGCACGCAGCACGCGAGTCGGACGTAAAAAAGAGCTACATAAAAATCGCAATTAAATTGAACGTAAATATGCATACGCGCGCAAACGTGAAAGAAAAACGTATAATTACCGCGCAATTAATTTGCACGCGGCAGGATCGTCGGCGAGATATTCGTGTAAGCGCGATACGCGCATGCACGCCCGCGATTTGCGCTAATTACGACAAGAATTCCCGTCACGCGCGCATAATCTAATCCGCCTGTAGAAACGGTGAATCGCAATATCGCGCCGCATTATTCGGCGTACGTGTAGCGCGTCTCGGACGGAATATCTTGGAGCTCGCTCGTAATAGCGGCGAGTAAATTATTTACGGTCGCGCGGGGCACGAGGAGAGTGCCGGCAGGTTTGTGAAACGTTAGTGACACAATGTCCCATAAAAAAGTTACGGCGCCTGCAGCCGAGATACGAGCGGAGAGCGCGTATACGGCATTGTGCCGACGCGCTCTCTCAAATCGCACGCGATAAAATCTCGGAATCGTAATGGCGAGGCGACGGCCGTTGGATTTCACGGAGTACTTTTGATGATGTATACAAGAAAAAACATAAATCTCTTTAATACGCCTAATTGATAAAACGCGCGCGCGCGCGAATCTATTGAGAAGCGAAGTGCAAACATTTAATTAGATTATTTCCCGAAATTGTACCATTATTATTCTGTTATTGTAAGTGAGTTCAAACGCGGTGGTGGGCAATAACGCTGAATTATCCTGAATTACAACACTTAGTTTCCCTTTCTTTTTACGAAAGCTCTGGTCCTACGTTATGATTTACATTTATCGCTTCAGATAGTTTTAAGGGGAGGATATTTGATTTGACAATCCAATTTGTTTACATTTTGTTTCCTTTTGTTTTAGAACGAGGGATCAAAACACCAAGCCGTTTTACTATCAAGGAAGAACGTGAGTGTTTTTCGTTTTCGTTTCACTCCTTTATGTTGTCCTTCGCGATGGAGTTTCCTTTTGTACGTTTTTTTTATGGCTTGAAATTGTTATGATTTTAGTTAAAATTCGATCGTCAGCTGTATTTCGGTGCCAAGCAAATCAAGCATACCGTGCCGCAAACGCTTTTTGCGATTACGTCGCATTTCCATTATTAGGAACAAACGTAGCGAGCGTTCTCGCGAGTTGGTAGCGTCCAAAGTTAGACCCGTCGAAAAACAGCATCCTTTTTGTCACTAAACACGAACTATGATTCGTTAATGAGAAAGGGATACGACTGGACGTACTGAAAGTTAGGTGAAAGGTAAACTGGACGGGGAAGCTAAAGGCGAATTTGTAAGCGAGGAAACTCATATATGATGGTATCAATTCTTCAAGTACTTCTCGTCGTAGCTTGTCGCGGAAAGGGTCGTAAAACACCGCGAAACACTCGACTCTGTCCCATATGTTATCCAGGAGCGCATTCAACTTCGTACCATGCGCGACAGTTGGTCGCAGGACACTATCGTCGATTAGAAGCTACATCACGAAAGCTTTATTGTCTATCGACATCGATGTCGATCGCTCGAGAGCTTGGTACTTACGTCGAATGCGGGCGACTATACACGCGCTCATTTTCATTTGAAATGCGTGTTCGAAAGGCAGATCGCGTTATCGGTATGACGTTACTTTGAAGCAGTAGCTTTGACGAAACGCCAAATCGATGCGCGCCAGCACGTGAATATTTTCGTTGAAAAAAGGGAGAGCAAGAACGAAAATCGACTAGAGATTTAAAAGAGGCGTGGTGAACGTTCGCGGGATTGAAAAGTAGAGAAAAGTAACAGTCGCCACTCACCTAAAGTAATCCTTCATCCCGCGGAGAAGCACGCGCGTGTCGCCCTCGATGTACTGGGTGGTACATATTCATCGGAGCACATGGCGTGGCTAGCGAGCGGGGCACCAGTTGTCCCGGCACGTTCCTGGCACGTGCGGGTCACGTGGCCGCGCTGACGAGTGGATTGTTCATTCCGACGTCTCGTGTGCGCCGAGGCACGAGGATCGCCTTCCCGCTGGGTTTGTTGCCGATTTCCGTGGGCTGCCCGTTAATTGGAAATAATCGATCGCGATAGCTTCACCGCGGACTTAGCAGTTTGCTCAAACAAATGACATTTCCTTTTGAGGAGAAGAGAGCGAGTGATCGGCCAAAGGGGACAACCTTTAATTAAGAACGATTTTGGGTGGTACTGGGTCTCCCGACACAATTCTTCCGTTATTTCTTCAATGACTCTCGAATACAAATTTGATTCTCATACATCGAGTCAAGCTAAAAATGCCTGGGAACGGAGTAGATGTGTTCCAATTGTATTGCAAAGTTCTCGATAAGTTACGCAGATAGTCGGCATAAGAGTACTTACGTCGAATCGATAATATGTAGGTACTGGCGTTCACGGTTCCATTAGGATAATTGTACCCTCGCACCGCTTCTCTTCCCGTATATCTGCAGTTATCTGCCAATCTATCTATCTATCTATTTTCGCGCCTCTCTCTAGCCCTCGTAGCCGACTTTTTTCGGCAGCCCCATGAACGCACGTTACATAAGTGAAAGTTGTCGATGGTATAACAGTTCGTAGGGTCAAGATTAGGACGCAATATTATTCGCACCGTTGGCAAATAGAGTTCTGTTGCCACAATGTTGATTCTTCAAATTCTTTCTCTGAAAGACCTTCTTTTATTTGAGAGATTGTTAGATGGGGTCTCGAAATTCTCTTCATTTCCAAATCCTTTTCGATCGAGGATCGAAAGAAATAAATTTCGTTTACGATAGTTCTGTTTTAGGCAACAAATGCGCTTTTAGACAAGCGTGGTAAATTCTTAGCTCGACCGTTGGGACTCCTTTGAATCTTACCAATTGTTTGCACTTACTAAGATTAAAATCATACATCCTGTCAAAGGTCGAGTTCGTCGCTTTTGAAAGCAACATCAGCTCGAATATAAATCCAAATAATAAAATAATATATCAAAATACTAAATAAATCGTCATAAAATTCTAAGTTAAACCATCTCATTCTCTATATTTCATATTAAATCACACCCTCGATATCCTCGTGTTCATAACAACTTGCGAATTATTAAAAAAAAAAGATTTTTCAAGAGAAACATAATTTTTCTTTAAAAACTATCTTTCTTAGCCTTGAACTTATATAAGCTTACATTTTTAGATTCGCTCTTCGCGCGATTTTTTAATGTCGAGGTGATCTTATCCATGATTCTAATGCATGTGGACGACAAGTCCCTCTTTCCTTTCCTTTCGCAAAAGTCACCCCTAATCATTAGACCCGCTATAACGATTTGTCCACGGCTCATAGTTGCGATCACTTGTGAACGATACCGTGGTGGAACAGCGATCGATCACGGTCATTGCTTCGCGGTTTTGTCAACGCCTATTGTAGACGAAACAGTCGCGCGGGACAATACTGGGCATGGCAGAGTTACCTGCGCTTTCAGCGGGATCCCACACGATCGTCCGTGGCACGCATTGCAAATCGCGCGTAGATTTATGGCTGACGCGAAATCGCAGCGTTCCGTAGCCCAGTTCCCATGCTCTCGTCACGTAATCGTCCGTGAATGTCCGCTTATCCGTGAGCGAAGTAAACCGTTGACGACGGCTCGACATCGACGCGAAGGCGCGTCCACGCGCCCGCAAACGTGCGATTTTAACGATTTAAACGCGGGGATATGAAAGTACATGGCGAGAATTGCAGGAAATTACGTCGAGCGAGTGGTGTGCAAATGTAAAAAAAAAAAAGAAAAGCTCTACGTTAACATTTTCCGCGATATTGAGCATTTTCATCGAACACGATCATTTCTCATTTTTTTTTCTTACTATTGTGTCGAGACAGACGTTTTTGTTTGTCGTGTCGATCGTTTCCTAAAATTATTGTGTGCATTCGTTTCTCATGCCATGGGTCTCTACCTAGCGTTGTTGATTATTTAGGCGGAAAAGGAACCGCCCATGCTTTTACCACGCAGTGAATAGACCATAGAGGAGGCGCTAAATACGACAAAACCATGACATCCGGTGTGCACGAGTCGACACGTGACCTTCTCAATGCTCTTACGCCAAGTGCTCGTCGAGGCAGTTCGAGTGCTATTCAGAACATCGTTACCACGTGTAACACGCATTGCCGGCGCTTTTTTCCCTCTCGCCTCGGCCGACAATGCGTAAACACAACTTCCCGAATCACAATTTTCCCGGTGTACTTAAATATGTTATATATAAATATAATCGGCCAAATAAACTGCGCAATTATCATACCGTAATAAAGATTTTACCAGAGCAAACGTCATAACAATAGCGAATATGGCGGTGTTGCGTTAATTGAATTGTTTACATCTTAGATTTTTAATTACCTGCACTAAAATTGGTTCTCTTGATTGGATTGTAAACGAGAAAATGCCTGAATATTTTAAATAGCACAACAGTGAAAAGGGTGGAGAGAGAGAAAAAGAGAGAGAGACATTCCAGTTACATTAAATATGAAATTTTAATATTTTTCTGTTGTATCATTGATAATTTTGTTAATTAATTTCGCGATCTGTTCCGTTAATATTTTATCGTGAGCAAGATATTGTTACGGTCACTTTATCAAAATATCATGAAAATAACCCGCAGGTATTTAAAATTCGACCACCATACCCGCATACTTCAATTAGACTCTTTAAGCGAACACTGCCGTCTATCATTTACGATCACGTGGAAACGTTTATGACAGAATTTATAATAGTGGCCCATATGTTTATATAAAAAACTGTCGGTTGCATTTTTCACGCGGTCAAAGTGTCATTGATGCATAAAACGATAATTTATGAGTGACTGATGTGAAAAACATGTTTTTAATCGATAAAACTGGGGAGGATACAGCATCATATCGTAAAAATTAACTTCTAGAACACGCTGCTTTTAGAATATTTTAACCTATTTGATGCGTTAAATCGAAAGTATTTCGACACAAATGTCAAATTTGAAATATTTTTACCTGCAGCTTAGAATATTCTATTCGCGCAGTTCTTCTATTTTGACATTGCAAGACACTAGGCTAGTCCCAAAGGCTAGTCATTAGTCCAAAAGATGCCGTAAATGTCAACGTTACGTTGTCGATCTTGCTTCATACGTTGAATTTGGTATAGTATAATTGTACCCTGGATTCTCCTAGAGTAGCTTTAGCTTCGCCTCCGCTGGTTGCAGAGGTTATTCAGCTCACGCCTCAACAAGGTGCTCAACTTTGTACGTAGTTTACACTGTTGATATCTAACGTTTTGGTTACCATCGCACCTTTTGGTATGTTAAAATTTGCGTGGATAGCAATTATTGTGTTCTCTTCTCCGACCTCGTCCACGTCACGGAGAACGTGCAATCATCGCTTTCGTCACCGACTCCAGGCAGAAGTCAACGCATCACAGAGGAAATCTGTGAAGAAGAAAAACATATCGTCCCCCTAATAGCCCTCATTGACAACCATAGCAAAGACGCGGCACGGTTTGGGGTAGCGCCCTGTTTTCATTTCAATTTCTACCCCCTTGGTGCCCAGGCCGACCCCCGTCAGAGGCCAGATGGTGCGCGATGCCGCTCTTTTTCTCTCTCTCTCAGTCTTTCTCTCTTTTTCTCTCTCTCTATCTGTCCGTCTCGTCCTGCGCGCTTGTTCATGCCTCCCTCGTTCCTGCACCTTCTCTTCCTTCTCTTCCGCCACCTACTCCGTCATCGCTCTGGCCGACTACAAGAGATCGCTATGATTGAACATGTCAATGTTTACTTTGGCTTATACCAGCGCTTGTAACACGGTTAACGCATCAGCTCGTTCGCGAGGGTTCGCGACGACCTCTTCGTTCCGCTCACGTACTTTGCGGTTCTCGTCATACACGATGTAAAAAATTTACGTTTCCTAAACTTCGCCAGCTATTCCACCATTCGTTGGTAGTTTCTA